AGCTCATCTTCAACCTCTTGAACAACTCATTTGTTATCCCTTTGGTCAACAAATTCATTACTTGGTCATCGCTTCGACAATACCCTAATCGTAACTTGCCTTCACTCACTAGCTCCCTCAAATAATGAAACTACATCTCTATGTGCTTGCTTCTTTTGTGTGCAATCGAATTTTTTTACAAGGTTGATCGCATAAATATTATCAACAAGAAGTGTAGTAGCCTCACCCTCATTGCTACCCAACTTCTTCAATAGATTCATGAGCCACATGGCTTGACATGCACACAACAATGCTGCAATGTACTTGGTCTCACAAGACGAGAGTGCTACCACCAGTTCCTTCTTCGAACACCAAGAGATTGGTGTCCTACCAAATATAAAGATGTATCCACTCGTTGACTTTCTATCATCCTTATCACCACACCAATTGGAATCGGTGAAACCAAGTAAACCGCATTTTTGGACCGTATTCGATGCCGAAAAAATAATTCCACAACCAAGTGTCCCTTTAACATATCTAAGGATCCTCTTGACTGCTGCCAAGTGAGACACTTTAGGCCTCTCAATGAATCTAGTAGCAATACCGACACTAAATGCCAAGTCTGGTCGCGTATTACACAAGTACCGCAATGATCCAATCAATCTCCTATATATTGAGTTGGATCCACATCTTGTTCATCCCCACTCTTGGAAAGCTGCAACCTTGCTTCACATGGTGTAATGACCGCATTATAATGCTCCATTTCACACATCTTTAAGATCTCAAGAGCATATCTCCTTTGATGCATGAGCAATCCTGTTTTTGACCTTTGGAACTCTATGCCAAGGAAATACGTCATAATGCCAAGGTCTATCAGCTCGAACTCATCCATGAGTTCACTCTTGAACTTAGAGATACTCTTCTCACAACTTTCGGTAATCAATAGACCATCCACATACAAGTAAAGGATGATCATACCATCATTTGCATCTGATCTCACATAAACTCTGTGTTTGGACACATACCGCTTGAAACCAATATCAACAAGAAAGCCATCAACGTGTTTGTTCCAAGCTCTTGGAGCTTATTTCAAACAATGTAATGCTTTATAAAACTTGTAGTACTTCATCTCTTGATTCTTTACCATAAATCTGGGGGCTGCTCAACATAAACCTCTTCATCAAGTGGACCATTCAAAAAGACAAATTTGACGTTTGAAATATCTTTCAATCTTTTTATATCTGTAATGCCAACAACTAATCAGATGGTTTCGAGTCTAGCCACAAGTGCAAACACCTCCTCAAAGTATGTACCTTCACGTTGCAAGAATCCCTTTGTTACCAATCGAGCCATATGCTTGATCATCTCGCCTTTGAGATTCGCCTTCACTTTATAGACTCATCGCACACCAATCGGCTTCTTTTCAAGCGGTAGATCAACCAACTCCCAAGTACCATTTTTCTCAATAGATTTCAGCTCCTCCTTTATTTCACAAATCCGCTTTGGATCGCTTAGATCCTCCTCCGTGTTCACCGGTTCAGATTTGGCCATAAGCGCAAAATGAATAAAATCACCATCATCATTGATTTTGTTGTCTTGGAATCTCTCACATTCTTGGATTCTTTGAGGCAACAAACTTTGCCTTGTTGATCTTGTGATATTTTCTTTGTTTCGGACCTCATTCGGTGGCTCCACAACAGTTTTGGAACTAACAAGATCATCGAAAACAAAGCTGCCGGTGGTAACCGGTTACACAAGAATGAACTAGCTGGGTGTAACCTGTTACACCCTGATTTGCAGACCCGGGAGTGTTGTTTCTCTGCATGTAACCAGTTACATCAAATTGCACTGGCTGCATGTAACCGGTTACCTTGGGACTAACAACACCAATTTCATAAAAAATTACACCCCAACCTATCACAATCTTTCGATTTCGCGTGTCAAACAATTTGTATCCTCTAGTAGAATGATATCCAACCAAAATCATCTTCTCGCCCTTGTTATCCAACTTCTTTCTAAGTTGACCCGACACATGTCGATACACCACCGAACCAAAAACTCTCAAATGACTTAGATTTGGTTTGAATCCGGACCACGCCTCTTTTAGTGTCAACTTCTCAAACTTCTTAGTAGGCACCTATTCAACATATATGTGGCTGTAGAGACCGCTTCTCCCCATAGCTACTTCAGCAAGTTTTTACCACTTAAAATACTTCGAACCATGTTGATAATTGATCGATTTTTCCTCTCGGTAGCATAATTTTTTGTGGTGTATAGGGTGGTACAACCTCATGCACTATTTCCTCTTGATCACAAAACTTCCTAAAGTCATTTGAGACGTATTCACCTACACCGTACATTTTGAGCACTTTGAGTTTTTGACCGCATTGCCTTTAAAAAATTGACTTAAACTTCTTGAACACATCAAACACCTCATCCTTCCTCTTGATAAGGTAAGTCCATAACTTTCTACTAAAATCGTCGATAAAAGTGATAAAATACCTATTGCCACTAAATCTGTTAACTTGCATCGGCCCGCAAACATCAAAATACACCACCTCAAGGTGAGTCTTGGTCCTATAACCTGCATCCTTGCTAAAAATCGCCTTGTGTTGCTTTCCCTTCACACATTCTTCACACAACTCAGTTGAAATGTTAATATGAGGCAACCCGGTAACCATACCATTTTGTTGCAACGCTTTGAGATCCCGAAAATAGAGATGCCCAAGATGGTAATGCCATAACCACTCTTCTCTACTTGCTACTGTAGCTAAGCACCTATGCTCTATCACTTTCAACTCAACTTTAAAAGTCCTATTGACAGCCATATGAGCCTTAAGAATCAACACTCCGTTAGCATCCACAATGCGTAAAATCTTGTCTTCCAAGCGAATTTTGTAACCCCTCTCAAGAAATTGGCCAATACTCAAGAGATTACATTTAATTCCCGGTATATACAAGACATACTTAATCATAAAATGTCCATCATTCTTCATCTTGATCAAAACATCACTGACACCTTCGGCTGCAAGAGTGGTATCATCTGTGAGTTTTACTCTACTTTTTTGCAGCTTGATTGATGTGCACAAACCAATCCTTTCTACCCGTCATATGCGTTGAAAAACCGGAATCCAAGTACCATTCATCCCTGCCTTGGACTCCATCTCGCACCGTAATCATTATGTTTTGTTCCGTACGTGTTTCTGCCCCGTTTTTCAAACTGCTGCAGCTGCTGCACCACAACTTGCAGCTGCTACTGCTGCTGCCCATCATGTCTTTACTGCCATAAAAATCCTCTGTGATCATCACTAAGAGCGTATTTTCATCAGATACGTCTTGCCTTGCAACCTTGGTTTCATCTCCTTAGTAATCCCTTTGTTTTGCACCACATTCATTTAAAAAATGTCCAAGCTTTCAACACTTTCAGCACTAAACTTTGTTTTGTCCCTTGGTTTTCTGCCTCTAGCGTTACTTTGATCACCATATCCATTGAAGTTTCTCTCAGCCTTTTTCTCCATCGAAGCTTTCGAATTCTGTGGATCATTTCCACCAAAATTCTGGAAATTTTGCTTCCCTTTCGAACCCTATTTTCCTTTCGATCTTTTACTCTTCTCGTTGATTCGTGCTTGTAAAGAAATCTCCGCTTTAGCTTTATCACTTCCTCTCTCATCCATTCTTTACTCATGAGTCTCAAGAGAGCTTTGAAGCTCATCTTTACTCAACGTCGCAAGGTCCTTCGATTCTTCGATAGCCACTACAATGTTGTCAAATCTTGATGTTAAAGAAAGCAAAAATCTTTGACACAACATTTTGCTCTGCAATTGTTTCTCCACAAGACTTGATTTGATTCACCAAACGCGTAATACGTGTCACATAATCGTTGATCGTTTTCTTCTCTTCCATTTGCGTTAGTTTGAATTGCCTCTTGTGAGTTTGTAACCTCACCCCCTTCGCCTTAAAAGTTCCGACATAAGCTTTCTCCAATATCTCTCAAACTTGTTTTGCCGACTCGCAATCGCCAACCTTTTCGAAGTTGTCACTATCAACACAAGAATGAATCAAGAAGAGTGTATTGTAATCTTTCTTCTTCTCTTGCTTGAATGTAGCCTTTTGTGCCTATGTAGCTTCTGCCCCAAGTGGTGTAACTCCATTGTTGATCACTTCAAGAACTTCTTGATACCCAAACAACACTTTCATTTGCTTTGACCACCTGTCATAATTTTTCGAATCAAGAATCGAAAGGTTGATAGAGATTCTATCGTTGGAAACAGAACTCATTTTCACAACGGAATTGGATCAGAACCAGAGCTCTTGATGCCAAATGTTAGAACACACAAATCAATTAAGGTGAATTAATGGAGAATTAGGGTAATTTGTAGAAGATGAAGTTAAGGGGAGAGAGAGAGAGAGAGAGAGAGAGAGAGAGAGAGAGAGAGAGAGAGAGAGAGAGAGAGAGAGAGAGAGAGAGAGAGAGAGAGAGAGAGAGAGATGACGTTAACAATAATTGGGAGTACTAAAGGCCTTTTATACATCAGTTACAAATCAATGAAAAAAGCAAAACAACTTAAAAATAAACTGGAAACTGAAAATGTTACAGTGGTAACTGGTTACACCCAGTTGAAAACGCCACTGACTACTATAAAAAGGATTACCATAAAAAGAATAACTGGTTACACCAACAGAAATGGCAGAAAAATAGTTTTTTCAACATATATTTTATTAAAAGTATCCCTTCCCTTCCCCTTCATCTACTTCGAACCAAACACACCCTAAGGTCGTTTAATAGTCATGTAAAATTATTTAGATCAATAAAAACTGATGTATTTAATTCAAATATTGATTTAAATAGACTAAATACATCAATTTTTTCATCAGAATATCTTCTATATTTAAGACAAGGGACAAGTAGTACAATAATGCTGGTTGTAGTTGTACATTATTTTCCTAATAAAGAAAATGGTCCACCCTCTCAACTGTTTTGGTAACTAGTAGGCCACATGTGAATATGGTCCATGCCTTTCTTAATGGACAGGAGGAGTTCTGTAATATGCTGGCACACTTGCTGGAAAAAACATTTGTCTTACTCCTTCTGCCTTAATAATTGGAAATATTATACCTGATGCACCCTGAAATAATATCATGAAAATGGAACTAAGAATTTGTTACAGTATAAAAAAACATGTAAAATGGAATTGAATTTGAAAAATACTCACTGAAATTAGTCTAGCTCCTATCCACATTCGTTTCGGGGACGGAAACGGAATCAACAGGCGGCCAACACCATATATTGCCACCGCGAAGAAATGGAGAACCAGGCTCAGCGGCCGAGGATTCAGACCGGAGAGTAGAGCTATTGGTCCGTTTGAGAAAACGCCTCCGAGGCTCAAATAATCAAAACATGCTTGGCGCATTTCTATGCTAGCTGGATCAGGAGATGCACAAAACACTTTGTATAATGCTCCTGCTAATGTGTTTATTGTAGATGCCACTGGCTGCAAAATGCAAATAGAATCAAACAATACTTATCTTACACTATCAAGCTCAACATTATGTTTCTAACATATACTTTACCTTTCTTAGTGTGTAGAAAGATTCGAGGTAGTTGCAAAGAGCAGAAGCATCATGAAGATTATGTAGAGGTTTAAGTAGATTCCTTAGCACGACAATGTCGGACAAAGCAACCGTCATTCCACCTCCCGTCAAAGGGTGGCGCATATTGAACGCGTCTCCCATCAGAAGAGCCCCGGGCGTGGGATAAGGTGCGGCAGGCATGCTTCTATTTGGCATGCTTCGGATGTTCCCTTTATCAACTGCTGCAATAAAAGAAGTATACAACTCTGGAGGAACCTGAACATGTAATTCTCTCAATTAGGAGAAGCGCTACGAAGCGTCAATGAACGAGTTGTGTTATTTTGACACAAATTTGACATCAAATGTGGTAGAAATAGAATGCTCCTTATTTTGGTACCTGAGGTGCTACCACAGTTTTCAAATAATGAACCATTTCACCATTACCAACAGAAGGTAGTTTTTGGCCAGGCACATCGACCAAACATCGAATCTCGGTACTACTTATAGGATAAAACAAAATTGGTGAAGGATCACCTAAGATAACATGTCCATGATTTTCATATGGAAGGTTACAATTCTCCAATATCAATCCAACAAAATGAGAAGGAACTTCAACCTGCATAAATATTACATACATAAAGCAACATCTTAGCAGCATAACACAAAATTAGTATAGAAACATAATTCTTAATATTTTGGTTACCTTAGGATTACAAAGAGTGCGTCTCAAGTTGGAAAAACAACCATCACATACTATGGTAAGAGGAGCCTTTGTGGTGAACTCTTGTCCACTCTTGTTTTTGTAGTTTACCCCTTTGATGGTTCCATTTTCTTCGAGTAAAGACGTGACAGTTCCTTGTTCTAACTTCACACTGCATCAATTCAAGAAAGATTCAAAACAACTTAACTTTCAATGTTGAACTTGATATATATAACAAATAAATTATGTATATACTTTGCAAGAGATGAAGCCTTTTCTCGCATTCTTTGTATGAAACGACCATTCTGAAAGCTTCTTCCAGATACATCAGAGTTAAACTTTTCTAAGGGATAAGACAACTTGGTGTTTTTCCCATCCTTATAAAGTGCATAGCCAAAGACTCTTTGTGCATCAATTTCATCCACACAATCTGGAATAGTTCAAAAACTCGTAGTTTTGTTGAGACTAAAAACATATTTAACTGATTCATACGAAATGTTCGCATTTCTTGCATACCTTCAAGACCCAACTCGAGTAACTTTAGATATCCACCAGGTTGCAACAATTCACCCACAATCCTATCAGGTTCACTCAAGTCTCTTTCGATCACATGCACTCGCCGTCCATCCTGCAACAAACAATCATTACTCATTCTTAGAGGTTTTCTATAGGTTAGCTGCAGTTTAATCATGGCAAAAAAAAAAGAAAAAAAACGTTATTTAACCATGATTTAGCCGTTGGGTTTGTGCGATAGGCCGTCTTACATATCCTCAAAGACGGCCTAAGTTTTCCAAACAAGGTCTAAGTTGTCCAAACATGACAGCATTCTTTTCATTGGAAGATATAAGCAGATCTATGAATCAAAAGTGTATTTTATTTTTTCATATAACAAACAACATCACAAGAAAAACCATCATATTAATGCATAAACTCAAGAAACAAAAGCTTATTATATACCTTTCCAAGTGTATAAGCAAGAGCAGCACCAGCAACACCAGCACCTACAATAATAATATCAGTTTCTCCTTCAACCTCATGCGACCATATTCCATTTTCCGACGATGTTTTTGCACATCCATTACTTTTCACATCTATTGAACTCGAACCTCTTTCTGTGACCTTCTTCTTTTCTACAAAACTATACAAAACAAACACAAATGCTAAACTAAAAGCAAGAAACCCTCCAAGAATATACTGATAATCCATCTCCAAGAAACTGATGAAACTTGCTTTTGCAGAAGTATGGTGGTTTATTAGAAGAATGGTAGAGGGAAATTATCATGAAAGGTAGTTTAGTTGTTTGCTCATTTACTTTTTATAGCGGCAAACGGTTGAACATTAATAAATATACTTAACTGATAAGTTATATAGAGCTGATATATATCGTTTTCTGTGAATTTAATTTTGAGTTTTGATATTAAGATGATTTTCCTTCTAATTAAGGGAACTTGTTTTGGATCCATTTACCTACCTACCACTCATAATAGTTTATGTTACGTGTTTCTTTCTAACGTTTGTATGGTTGGAATTATTTGTGAAATGTGGAAGTATTTTATTTTGTACAATTTATTTACATTGACAAAAATGGATTCATAAATAATTAAAGTCTAATGGTAACTTGTGTTTTAGGCTACAAGTTAAGGAACATAAATTAATTTTAAACAAATATTTGTGTTTGTTGAATGAGAAACTTCTTATGATGATCATAATGATTGAATACATGATAGGTGTTATTGATGAATTAGCTTTGCTTGTCACTGAGTATTATGGCTCCTATATTTTATACACTGTATGAATGAGTTAGGTGTTAGTTATTCAAGTGAAACTAACATAACTAACTTCCAAACTGCTTTCTATCTTTACTAACTAACCATTCTCTAATAATATTAAATAAATAAATTTTAAAATTTTAAAAATTCAACCATGATTTAGCATGGGTATTTTTTAAAAAGTGACTATCAGTACTGAGGACGCACCAGTACGAGATACTCGTTTCGTATTCATGATTTAGCATGAGTATTTTTTAAAAAGTGACTATCGGTACTGAGGACGCACCAGTACGAGATACTCGTTTCGTATTCATGATTTATTTATTCTCATTATTCGGTTTTGAATAAATTTTTTGATTTTCTCAAATATCAAATAATATATTTCTATGTTAAAATTTTTTTTAATTGTATTTTAACATTATTTTTTTTTCTTCAAATTTTTATAAAAATGTTTTATTATAAGTTTAGTTCTCAACTCATATATTTTATAAAAAAATTCTTATTTTTTATTAACATACTCATACTTTGATTTATTTTTTTTTTTTAAATGTTGAATCCTATATCAGTATCATTATCCGTATTGGATACCGTATCCGTACCTATGCATCATCGATAATTTATGAAATAAATTTTTTACATAATATTTTAATTTATGCCCTTGGACTACATGTATTATTTTTTGTAATTAAATATTTTTTAAAAATTAACTAATATATATTTTTAATAAAGTTGATTTATAAGTATCAATAATTTGTAAAACATAAAAGGAAAAACAAGAATAAAATGACAAAAATAAATGTCAAAATAAAAAAAAGATGACTAAAAAAATTAAAGAGTAAAAAATATTAGAAAATAAAGAAGAAACAAAATAAAAATCAAAATGGAAGTAAAATCAAAATAAAAAATAAGGAGGAAAATAAAGTAAATTGAAAAAGGGGTGCAAATTGAAAAAAAGAGAGTCCAAATAGCACTTTTGCCAACAAGCCCAAAGGCGCCAAGGCCCAAGGCCAAGTTAGAGTTTACCAAGGAAGTCAAGGAAAAGGTTTAGCTTATCAGGTCCATTGGATCTGATCTAATGGCTCAAACGCGCCGCTAAAGAGACTCCTCACAACCCTTAGATCTGATGACTAAGGAAAGTATTTCAATCTCACGGCTAGGAGTGGAAGTCGAACAAGTGCGCATGAAATAGAAACCACAAAATTTTTAATCAAAATTTGAATTCAAAAATAAAACGTGGCAACACATGATTGGTCCAATTTGAATTTGGAACCAAAATTCAAAAAAGTAGGGAATACTCCATCGTCTTCAACCTCCAGCCAGCTGAAAATGACAACCATGAAAATCGTGGCTTTTGGACTGAAACCAAAACTTCACATGGCTTGGGATTTCTCCCCTTTTTTACTTTTGGCAGTTTGGTATTCATTTGTAAATGGACTTGGTCCATGTATCAAATTGAATGTATGAGCTTTAAACATTTTTGTTGTAATAACATTGTAACATGGGCCTTGGATTGTTTTTAGAATGATAAATTGAGTTTTTCATGGTAATGTAACTTGAATCAAAACTTTGAATAAAAATAAATAAAAAGAATGAAACTTTGAATAATAAAAAAAAAGAAACTTGACATGGAATTGAGTTTTTTTTTCAAAGCGAAAATTTGACATGAAAATGGAATTTGAATACTTGAAGGAAAATTGCCACGTGAAATTGAAAGACATTGAATTGAAACTTAGAATGAGCATGAAATTTGGAGTTTGAAATTGGACATTGAAATCTAATGGGCTTATTGTAAATAACAAAAAAATGATGGGTTTGAATCATTAAAATTGGGTATGGAATTGTTTGTTGAATAGAAACTTGTGACTAATCATTTGAATTCTTGCGAGTTGAATTAAAATCGGAACTTGGGATTTAGGAAAGAAATTTGAGATCTTGAGTTTTTTTTGAATTAAAATTGGATGAATGGAATTTGAAAATGTGCTTATGACTTGAAACTTGAATGAAATGTGGACCTAGACTTCAAGAGAAAATTTGAATGATATTGAAATTGAGGATCTTGTTACGAATTTGGAATTTTGAATCTTGAACTGGAATCCTTGGATTTTGACCAAACCATGAATCAATTCAAAAGGTGAACCACTTGAAACAATTTTGAATAAGTGACGTTCCGGACTTGATCCAACTAATTATCCTTGAAACCATATCCCATCATCTTGGATCAATTCCATGAGAAGTGACAACACATCCTGATCCCATCTTTGAAATGGTCTTGAACATAAAGCTTGAATCTTTTGAGACCATAACATGGATCACATAATCAAGACTTGCAACGACCCGCAATATGAGGCCAAATATTCACCACTGGATTCCATCAGGAAATTTATGATCTCGCACAAAACCCTAATCATAACCACTTGACGATTTCAGATGTAGAACACTCGAATCTGACACTTGTTCGTCCTCACGAGATTTCATAACACATATAACTTGAGATATGAGTTGTGATGTCATTACACCAAAACCCTAATTGAAAGTCAATTGTCCTTGATGATTATCCCCCTTGAAACAAATGTCTTTTCCATAGCCTAATAACTTGATACTAAAACAAACCACTTCCTTGACCAAGACTAGGTCAAACTTCCATTGAGCTTCAAACCACACCACATACATACTTGTCTTGATAACCTGACCCGATCCTTGATTCAATCCTGTAAGATCTGGGTTTAGACAACAAAAGGTACAAATCTATATGCACAATGGTAGATGACATGAATAATAAATATGATACTCAAATGATGAAAATGCTATGATACGTAGGGAAAGCGGTTCAGTGTCAAAATTAGGGTGTAACACCTTGAATTGAATTTCACTTTATAATCTTGGACTTCATGCTTGGATGAATACTATTGATACTTGTTCCTTGGATGAACATTACATACACATGGTACGCTTGAATCAACAACAAACTAAACTCCTTTGAATTGGAATGAACTTGAGTGGAAACTTTAACTTTTCTTTCCATTTAAGCAATTATGGACCAAGCTTGAAATTTGAGCCTTTCCTTGATCAAATGCATTCAAAATGGAACTAACATGTTCATGCCTTAGGATTATAGTCATACCTTGCAACTTTGAGCCATATGACAATTGAATCATACATGAATTTGGTTTTTGAACCAAAACCCTAATTAAAATCATGCTTGATCACTAATTGATTTTCAACACAAAACACTTGGGATTTGATACACATTTATCTTCAAAATGGTCCATAGCAAAGGTGACTTGTAAATGAAGGAATTTCTTATTTTGTTTGACCAAGGTAAGGTCAAACTTCCACTTGGACTTAATCATGAAAGAATGGCCACTGAATCAATCTGAACACACTTAATTGAAGCAATGATCTTTCCTTGATATTCCCTTGCAAACCCTGATGATCACAAAGAAAAAACAAACAAAGTATACATCTCTTGATGTCTTGGTTAGATTATGTGAAATCATTGCAAACCCTAATTCACCAAGATCCCATGATATGCTAATGATATGATGGATGTATGATACAAAGTTTAGGGTGAAAATTAGGGTATGATAACATGTGCAATGCAATGTGCTATAAGTCTGATGATTGTTTTGTTACATTTATTGTAATTAGGTGAATTCTTATGGCACCCTATATACTTCTAACACACCATGTAAAATTCCATAAATGTCCCCTGATTCCAGAGATATATCTTCGGACGCACCTAAACTTAAATAAACATTGAAATATTTCGGAGAGATATCTCCACAATTTTTTGGAGTGTAAGTCGCGCCAAACTTTTCTCCTTCCCCATTTCACACTTTTCTTCAAACTCAAACTCAATTCTTCTCCATCTCAATACACTTCAACTTCACCAAACCAATTTTCATCAAGCAAAGCTCAAACAAACTCAAGGGAGCATCAAGCATCATTTATAGCATCATTCAATATCATCAAAACCATAAATTTCAAGTAAGTTTTTCGAATTTTCAATAAATATTCGAGTTTTAGTGTAAATGAGTAGCAATTAATGATCAGGAATAGAAATGTGTAGGAATCGCATGCAACATAGTTTAGACATAGTGTATACCTTGTTTGTTGGCTGAAAATGGCAATCAAAACATGCTTTCTTCAACTTGAATAAGGTATGTTTGCCATCGATCGACCTCTGTGTTACACAACATTATGAAGATGCATCTCTGGAATTGTTCAGCATTCATATACTATGGGAAATTTTAGAGATACATCTATGAAATTGTTCAATGTTATAGTTTTATGGTGTTTTTGGAGCTGCATTTGTTTAATTCGTAGTTAAAGGGGGGGGGGGTTGTTATTGTCTCCACAGGGATTGCAAATATTTTGATGCTTGTCGTTCAATAGTTTATTATTTCAAGAGAAATGGTTTTCAAAGTTTTGTTCATA